GCGTTTAAGAAATTTCTGCAATAAGTGTGGTCTTTTGAGTCATGATTCAAAGGAATGCCCTCTTAATGGTTTTGATGACGAGGGTGATGACTACAATGGACCGGATAACAACATGCTGATGATGGAAATGAACAAAGGGCTATGGATCATGATAATGCGATTGCAAATCTCCCTTTGGAACCTATGTCTGCAGGTTTCAACAATGACTCGAAATATGTCCGGGTCTCGGACCTGAGGGATCGCCGAGTGAGAAAGGCTCAAGGATCTTTGCAAGAAATTCAAGCCTGAAGTTATGTTCTTAGTTGAAACTATGCATAATTGTAAAGTATTAAGGGATCTATGTGTGTATTTAGGATTTGATAACTTAATTACCATTCCACCGTTAGGGAGGAGTTGAGGATTGGCTTTATTCTGGAAAAAAATGTAAATATAACTAAGTATGATGCTGATGCTAGACTGATCGAGGTTGTTGTTAATATTAATGGTGTGTTTTTCTACTTATCTTGTGTCTATGGTCATCCAAATCAAAGCCTTAGACATGGGTTATGGAATAAGTTACAATCCATTAATGATTCGAGAAGTGGTCCTTGGATTCTAGTAGGTGATTTTAATGAGATCCTATCGAATGATGAAAAGGAAGGTGGTCCTCAAAGAGATTAAAGGAGCTTTAAGGATTTCAGAAAGTTATACAGTAGTTGTGATCTGACTGATCTTCGAAGTAAAGGCAACAAGTTCTCTTGGATTGGAAAGCGATATACCCACAAAATGTTGCTTGGATAGAGTTTTAGTTAAATCTGCAATGACTGCTGAATTCCCTGCATCTGAAGCAAAGTTTCTGGGTTTATACGGTTCTGATCATAGGCCTATTGTAACAACAATTGCTTACAATGAAAACACAGAAAAAAAGATATTCAGGTTTGACAAGAGGTTTCTACAAGTGTATAACTACAAAGAATATGTCAAGAAGGGATGGAGTTGTCGAAACAATCTGCATAACCCAAAAATTTCAGATAGAATCAAGGAATGCCGTAAATCTATGGCTTATTGTTGTCGGAATTCAAAACTCAATTCAGCCAAACGAATAGACGAGCTTGAACTAGCGTTGGAATTTGCTCTGTCAAATGGTGATACGGCTTATGAGGATATTGTTGCAATTCAAAAGGATCTTGGACAAGCTTACCATGATGAGGAAACCTATTGGCGGATCAAAAGCAAGAACACTTGGCTAACTCAAGGCGATCGAAATACAAGATTTTTCCAAGCCTGTACTAAAGCAAGATACGCTAAAAATAAGATCCTTGCTATAAATGATGACAATGGAAACACATACAGAGGAGATTTGGAAATTGGAAAACATGCTCAGGAGTTCTTCACGAAGGTCTACAAAAGCAAACAAAACTCCTCTCAGATAGATATTTTTGCAAACTTTCAGAAAACAGTCACAGCTACCATTAATGAAGACTTGACAAGAGAGGTGACAGATCAAGAAGTTTGTGATGCAATTCAATCTATTGGTGCAGACAAAACCCAGGCCCTGATGGTCTAACTGCTCGCTTTTATCGATCCGGCTGGGATATTGTTGGAGATGATGTAATAAAAGAAGTCAGAGATTTTTTCCACACCGGGAAAATAAAACCTAACATAAACAGGTCACATATATGTATGATACCAAAGATTGACAAACCTGCAACTCTTTCAGATTATCGACCCATTGGCCTTTGCAATGTACTTTACAAAATCATCTCAAAAATTTTGGTGGGAAGATTGAAACCATATTTGAGCGACATTGTGTCAGAGTCACAAGTTGCTTTTATACCGGGGAGGATGATAACGGATAATGTTCTGATTGCACATGAGCTCATGCATTCATTAAAATCAAGGAAGAGAGTGTCACAAACATATATGGCCATTATAACTAATATCTCAAAGGCCTATGACCGGGTTGAATGGAGGTTTTTGGAAAGAACGCTTATGGCGTATGGCTTTGATGCTCGTTGGATCAACTGGATAATGGAATCAGTTAATACTGTGGAGTATTCTGTTCTAATAAATGGTAACCCCCAGGGTAAAATTGTACCAGAAAGAGGCCTCAGACAAAAAGATCATTTGTCTCCTTATCTTTATATTCTCTGTGCAGATGTCTTGAGCCATCAAATAAAAATACATCACCAGAAGGAGAAAATCAGAGGAATAAAGATTGGCAACAGAGTACCAGCTATCACCCATTTTTTCTTTGCAGATGATTCGCTGTTTTTCTGTCAAGCTAATAACCAAAACTGTAGATTTTCAAAACATATGAAGCATGGTCGGGTCAAGAGATCAATCCATTGAAATCAACAATCACTTTTGGTTCTCGGATACCAAGAGTCCTGCAAGAACGTCTAAAGAGAACTCTTGATATACATAAACAAGAAGGAGGAGGAAAATATTTGGGACTCCCTGAACAATTTGATCGCAAAAAGAAGGAGATGTTTGAATACATTATTGATCGGGTCAGAAACAGAACATCAAGTTGGAAAGCAAAGTTTTTATCATCTGCTGGGAAGAAAATCCTGATCAAATCTGTTGGCCTCTCAATGCCTGTCTTTTTAATGTCTTGTTTCAAACTTCCGCAACAGATAACGGATGAGATCAGTACAATATTAATGCGTTTTTGATGGGAAAAGCGTGATCAGAACAGAGGAATTCCTTGGGTTAGTTGGAAGAGAATGCAGTTCTCTAAAAACACGGAGGCATTGAGTTCAAAGATTTATCTCTTTTCAATGATGCATAGCTAGCAAAACAAGTTTGGCGTTTGATACAATTTCCAAACTCCTTGTTTGCTCGAGTTATGAAAGCTAGGTATACCACCATTCTTGAAGCAAAACCTAGAGCTTATCAATCTTATGGTTGGAGTTCGATTCTTCACGGTTTGGAAATCATAAGGACAGGATCAAATCATATTATTGGTGATGGTTCAACCATTTATGTCCAACAAGACAATTGGATCCCATCTCCTAGCCCTAGACCTGCCAGACTAAGACACAACAACGTGGAGCTCAAGGTTAGTGACCTGATCACTTGCACTAACAACATTCGACAATGGAGATCAGATTTAATCCAGGAGTTGATAGAAGATGTAGATCAATCTGTGATTAAAAACATCTACTTAACTCAAGTGGCAAAACCTGTTAAATTGGTATGGGCTCATAATGCTTCGGGTGATTATTCAGTTAGAAGTGGTTACAGGCTTGCTTTCAATGCATCTCACCAACAAAATCCAGACACTATGATCCCTCATGGTGATCTTGAACTTAAAGCTAAGATTTGGAAGCTCCCTATAATGCCTGAATTGAACCATTTCCTTTGGCGTATATGTTCCAAGGCAATTGGAGTAGCAAGTCGTTTAAATACTAGAGGTATCTCCATAGATCCTACTTGCCAACGTTGTTGCTCTGCACCTGAGTCTATATGCCATACTTTTTTCTCTTGTCCAATCTCAATGATGATTTGGAGAACGTCTGGTACCATGTGGCAACCGGTACTAACACATAATTCTGATGGTGAAGATCTAATACACAGCATTATTAATTTCCATTTTCAACCTGGTCTTGACAAGTCACAAAAATCACTTCCTTTTTGGATTCTATGGAGAATTTGGAAATCAAGATGTAATCTAATATTTAAGAAGATGCAAGTGCGACCAGATAGTGTTGTTCATGATGCGCAATTAGATGTCTCCCAATGGCTACAAGCGACTTCCAACTATGATTCAGAACCTTCATTTTCCAACACTCAGATTCAAAACCTTCAAAGAGATAGGGGCTGGCAACCTCCTGGATCGAATATGATCAAATGCAACTTCGATGCAAGTCTAAATCTCACAAACAATCGTTTTACGGCTGGATGGATTGCTAGGGATCACAAGGGTTTTTGTTTGTTTTGGGGATCTGCAGTTTTGGGAACTTTTTTAACAGCCTTGGAAGCAGAACCCAAAGCCCTTCTCATTTCAAAGCAACAAATTTGGAGTCAAGGTTTTCGTCAGGTGATTTTTGAGGGAGATTGCAAAGTACTAATCGATATTTTAAATTAAAAAAACAAAGTACTACTGCATAGAAAACATCTGCTCCGACATTCTCTGGTGGCAGAAGAAATTTCAAAAATGTGTCTTTCTTCATACATCTAGATGTAATAACAACGCTGCTGATTGATTAGCAAAGCATGAACCCTTGAATTCCTTATTTCACACTTTTAAATTGTATCCAGCAATGTGGCTAGCTAATGTTGTAATTACTGATTGTAACAATATTTTCTAATATATATAAAGTATTTTGACGTTAAAAAATATATATATATACATACTCATGGATTATAATTTAAATATATAAATCTATAAAATAAGAATTTAATTGTGAATATTTTATTAAAGATCAAACTTTCATTTTTAGTTAATGAAATGATTATATATAGGATTGTCAAAGTGGACAAATCCGTCTATTTAATATATTTTATAATTTATTATAATATTTTTTTGGCCAATCCGTAAAAAAATACAATTTAAAATTTAAAACATATTTCAGTTTTTTTATACAAAAATAATTGAATTAATTTGCAAAAATGATATTAATTAATTATGAAAATACAAATTTAAAACTATTGTAAAAGTTTAAATAGACTTTTTTATATGTATATAGATTGATTATTATTTAAAATAATAGAATATATTTTTATATTATGCTGTAAGTTTGAATAGTTAATTGAGTTTTCTATATTTGTAAAATTTATTTATGTAATATTTTTTAAATAATAATTTATTTATGTAATATTTATAAATAAGTGTTTATTTATGTAAAATATTTTATAATATTTTATAAATAAATGTTAATTTATGTAAATATCTACTTATATAATAATATAAAGATAATGAAATGGATCGATGAATAAAAAAAAAAGTAATATATTACTGTAAACTAAGGTTAATTAATGTTTTACCCTAAATCTAATAAAGGTAGGCAAAAGTAGCAGACGACGGTGGCTTCTGGCTCTTCGCCGCTAGTGCCCTTTTCCGTTTTCTCTGAAAAAAATCGGCTGAACATAGAAAAAAAATCTTTGGCTGAGCCCTTTTCTCATCTTCATCTATGGAGGATAGTATGGTGAAGGACGATGAACTACAAGAAGAAATCTCCGATAAGTTTCTCTGTTGCGTTTGCCTGTAAGCGTTTCAATGTCACCCCTTTTCTGGATTTCATCTTGGTTACAAGAAAGCCCTAGTCTTTTGATTAGTGATTAGGCTAATTCGAAAAATCTCAAGACACAATTGTTTTCGTGATTGTAAATTTATAGTCTTGTTCTGTAATTGATTTCTTGTCTCTAAAGTTTCAAGATTTTGGATTCCTAATTCTCGTTGAGTATCTCAGTTGAATGATTTGTTCACTTGTAGACCTTTTGTGTTGTTTCTTTGTGCAGGGAAATTCTTTACAAACCAATTGTGCTATGTGAGTGTCCTTAGACTCAAGACAATCACAAACCTTTTGTTTCCTTTTAGTTTCTAATCCTTGTTTTTTGGGATTGCAATGCAGCTTGTGGTCATCTATCATGTTTCTGGTGTGTCCATAACTCCATGAATGGTCTGCGCAAGTCTCATTGTCCGATATGCCGAGACCCGTATGTTCACTTCCCGAGTGTCTGCCAAAAGCTTCATTTCCTGCTAAAAAAGATATACCCACTTGCACATAAGAAGAGAGAAGAACAAGTTCTTAGTGAGTTTCTTTGCTTACAATTTTCCTATGATGGGTTTATCTTTAAAGTACCGTACTTTGAGGTGTAAGTTTCGCTGATTATAGTTTTGTTAATGTCATGTTTCAGAGGATGAACAAGAACACGCTTGTTTCTCTCCTCAGATTGATGTTGTTTTGGATGAACAAAAGGCTAAGGGCTCTAATGAAGAATCCAAAGATGCAAAAACTCTTCATGTTCATGAGAATGACTTATCTAAGGATAACAAAGTCAGTAAGCAAATTTCAAAAGATGATTTGCTCTGTTCAGCATGTAAGGAGCTGCTCGTGCGACCCGTAGTACTCAATTGTGGACATGGTATCATCTTGCTTTCGTTAAATACTTTTTACCTTAGATTTTCTTGTGTGCTAATATCCCTGTCTAATTCTTTTTTCCAGTGTATTGCGAAGGATGTGTAGTAGATATGGCTGAAGAAAGCGAAATGATTAAATGTCAAGACTGTCATGTTTGTGACCCAAGAGGATTTCCAAAAGTCTGTTTGGTTCTTGAGCAGCTTTTGGAGGAAAATTTCCCTGAAGAATACAATTCAAGGAGAAGTGGAATTCAGAAAACGCTTGCCCACAATGGCAAAGGCAGTAAGTTCTACATACAATAACATGCCTTTTCTTATTCTCCGGGAGTATGTTCTTGAATGAATTTTTCAATTTATCGACGCATGTCATGTCCTTGTGGCTCTCAAAGCTTAGGTCTTGTAATAATTTGGACACATCTGAACACAGAGACTCATAGTTTGTAATCATTTTATCCTGATATCTAGATATTCAAAGCTGTCACAAAGATGGCACTTCCTTATCAGACAGTGATGACGATGATATTCCCTGGTGGGCAAACTCTGCATCTACTGTTCACGTTTACGTGGGTTGTGATTCTTGCGGAGTAAGTATCCGATTGTTAGTAACCCTAAAGCCAAAACATGTGTGAAGGAATCTGACATTGATGTGGTTTTGGCAGGTGTATCCAATCATAGGGGATAGATACAGATGCAAAGACTGCAAGGAGGAAATGGGTTATGACCTTTGCAAAGAATGTTACGAGACTCCTTCAAAAGTTGCAGGGAGATTCAACCAGCAACACACTCCAGAACACAGGCTTGAGCGCGTGGAGGTTCCTCAGTTTCAGAACAATGACAAAAATATCGGTATCCTTGACGAACCTATGGTTATCTCTGAAGATGATGAAGGCATGAGTACAGAAGAAGATGATGATGAGAGCGAGGAAGGTCCTCATAATTCTAATGAGTCATCATCATCAAGCATAGAATGAAATAGCAGTCGAGAGTGTATTGGAATCTTATAGAGAGAGAGAGAGAGACATGGTGTGTAGTTGTTGGTAGCGAATATGGTTTGCATTTGTGGTCGTATTAAAAATAACTCTAGAGGAGTCCTTTTTCCGAATACTTAGGGGGTGTATTGAATTTAACATTTACAATGATTTCAGTTTAATAAGATTTTGATGATTCGAAGAAAGTTTTTAGGATTTGGTTTAAAATTTTATGCAATCCCACATAAAACCATAGGATTTGGATCTTTGTATTTTTAACTAAAAAATCCTCTAAAATACCTTAAATTAAAATAATTAAAATCCCAAAACTTAAACCATTTCCAATAACAATGGATTTTAATATACATTTACAAATCATATATCCAATAACACTGGGTTTTAAAAAACTTAAAAATTCATGTTTGAATAGCAGATGATTTATCATTCTATTTTAAATCAATTCAAATAGTCATTTCAATACAAAAAAACGTCGGCGAATTTCTTTTTTTCTTGGTCGAACCGGGATCGAGGAACATGGAACGGTTCGAATTTATAGTATAATTTGGATGTAATCCAACCAGTAAAACCCGGTTCTCAAAACCAGTAACCCTAGACGAATCTAAATCGACCAGTTCAAGGTTTTAACAAAATTGATTCAGAAATTTCCCCTAAATTCCCCTGAATTCGTTCTATGCAAATCGGAGAAGAAGTAGAAATAATCCGAGATTGATCAATTGCGATTTCGTATCGATAATTCCGCCAATGTCTTCCCAAGAGAGGAAGAGGAAGAAGAAGACGACGAATAAATTGTCGCCGGCGCTTGAATCGGCTCCTTCACTTCCTGATGATTTGCTAGTGAGTTGCTTAGCCCGCGTCTCGAGATTGTACTACCCGACTCTTTCACTCGTCTCCAAGAGATTCCGATCGCTCCTTGCTTCACCGGAGCTTTACCAGACCAGGTCATCTTTAGGACGCACCGAGAGTTGCCTCTACGTGTGCTTACGGTTCCATCCTGACCCTAACCCTCGTTGGTTCACTCTCTGCCTCAAGCCTGATCGAACCCTAACCAATGACACCGGTAAGAAGAAGAAGAAGAAGAAGAAGAAATCATGTTTTGGGTATGCTTTGGCTAAAATCTCAATTTCACACTCTCCTCCTGCGCACTGGTCGGGTCTCGTCACTATTGGTTCAGAGATCTACAAGATTGGCGGACCCATCGATAACAACAAGGAGCCTTCGTCTAGCGTCTCGATCCTGGACTGCACGTCTCACACGTGGCGCGAGGCTCCAAGCATGGTGGTGAAGCGGAGTTATCCACAAGCCAATGTCCTTGACGGAAAGATATATGTAGCAGGAGGCTGCTCCAAAGACTCCGACTTTATGGAGGTTTTCGATCCAAAGACTCAAACTTGGGAGCTGGTGTCGAGCCCTGGCACGGAGATATGCGGGACCGGGAAAATTTATATGCAAAAAAAGCCTAGGGATTGACGAAAAGGTATACTTTTTTGGAAACTTCAATGGTTTGGCTTATAAACCAAAGGAAGGAAGATGGGAAAGAGTGGGAGAGGAGATGGAATGGGATTGGCGATGGTATTCTTACTGCGTGATTGAGAACGTGATTTACCGTTATGATGAGGGAAAGTTCAAATGGTATGACTCTAAGGCAAGACTGTGGAGAAATTTGAAGGGTGTGAAAGGACTGCCTAAGTTTGCCCGTTATATTGCTAGATTGGCTGATTACGGTGGAAAGATGGCTGTTTTTTGGGACAAGGGTGTGCCTTCCAGTGGATATAAGGACAGGGTGATTTGGTGCACAGTGATTGCGCTTGAAAGGCGCAACGATGAAGAGATTTGGGGTAAGGTCGAATGGCTTGACGCAATGCTTACAGTCCCCAAGTCATGTCGCGTGGACTTTGCTCTTGCTGCTACCGTCTGATGCAATGACTTGAATGTGATGAATCTTTAGTGGTCATGGGTTATGTCATTTATGTTGGATGGTTGTGTTTTGTGTTTTTTAGCTGAATGCAATAGACAGATTCACTTGTAAACCTTTGATGTTAGCTTATTTTGTGTTGGCACTAAAGACTTATGGAACACTGTTTTGGTTGAAAATAGGTCACTACTTTTCATTGGTAGAAGAAGATGCAAAATTGATTCAATACGTCGTTTTAGAATCCAGATATATTCATAAAGAACTCAAGGTTTAGGGGCTTTAATATGCTGTAAAACAAACCCCTGAGGTATTTCCTGCATGTATCTCCTCAGTGTTTGTATTGTCATGTGTGGGGTGTCATTTTCTCGTAAAACAAAGTGATATATGTATATAAATCATAAATGTTTGGTTTTTTAAAGTAAAAAAGTACATAAGGTTTTTTAATTTTCACCACTGTTATTATAGTCCATACTCCATAGGTATTCCTATTTCTATTTTGGGAAAAGGATATGAAATCGTGAAAACCATACTTTTATATTATCTCCAACACATATATATATATATATTCTCTTACACATGGTTTATGATAGCATAATGTTACTTTTTGTGTGTTTTAACCTAAATTTGTTTTCCTAAAACCTCTTTTGTAACAGTTCTAGGCTTCTCGCATCAGCCAACTGCGTAGACATATTCTTAGCATTCCTCATATGGCTTTCCATTGTTTTTACATTCGAAGTCTCAGCCCGTTTGTTGACTTTTAACCTCTCTTCCTTGCAGCAGCACATAAGTACTTCAAATCGACATATTTAGACATGATGTCATACAAATGGCTGGGGATCATGACCCAAATTTTATGCATCATTGCAAATTTCTCATAGTAAAGAAAACTCAAACAAATCGATCATTGCATCGTATTTTGACATTTGTTTGTAAAACCTTTATAATTATAGAAATAGTAGTTAAGTTTTTATCTATGTATCATAATGATCATATGGTTGAGATAAATGTAACCTTGTATCTTTTTATAGCATATCACTACCATCCATTTATAAATTTTGTATATTTTATAATACTAGATAAGTACAAGTGCTGCACAAAGTTTTTGAAGTACCAACTTTAAATAAGCAATATGGTAAAATAAGTTCCATTTTGGGTAAATGATTGTGAAACAATATACATCTTTCTGATAAAATCAGTTGATTATGTAATAGAGTTTTATGTGAATCGTTTTTTCATAATTTGAAAATCTAACCACTAACCAAAAAAAAAAATTTATTTTTTCTTGATTTATATTTAAATTATAATTTCATGGGTTTAACCGCTAGCACCGAGCCGGCAGAATATTTTGGAATATCACAGTTTCAAGCAGAGTCATCCTGAGATTACGAGTTTGATCCTCTACTACTCATCGATTCCAACAAAGTCAGGTCAACTCGTCCGAGTCAGCTCGTGATCCAAATTCATCTAATACCGAAACCATAATTGGCACCAATATCTTCATCTTCTGTCTAGTTCTGGGTATGATATGTGCACCCGAAATATTAATCGAAACCAACTCGAAAAAGAGAAATCGGAACCGATTAAATACCCAAACGGATTCTAGTTTCCTAAATTCAAAGAATCTGAACCGAACCAAAAAAACTCAAAATAGGTATCAAAATATCTGAAATACAATTATATATTCAAAATATTAATTATATTTAGATTTGATCACCCAAAATTTAAATTATAAATAAATAAAAAATCTAAATTAACGTTATACTAAAATAATTAAGAAATGATTAAGAGATCCAAAATAACCAAAATATGTGGATGAATCATGAAAGTTTCATCAAAATTTATTTAAATTTAACTATTTTTTATTTAAATTTTTATTTTTTAAGATATCCGAAATCGAACTGAATCTGAGCGGATATAAACCAAATCCGAACCAAAATTCTAAAATACCCAAATGGGTTTTAAATTCTAAACCCGAATAATCCAAACTAAACCCAATTGAATAGCCGAATGACCAGGATAATGCTAGATCGGCCTGTCATTTCAGTATACTTTCGCGGTGGCCAGCTCTCCCTTAGAGAATCAGATATCTCTAGAGGATCGGCTGCAGGGTATATTGGGTTGGCCGGACGGCACCCCCTCTAGAAACTGATTGATGGTCAGACCTTGTGTCTCCATGTTACTTTGCCCACGGTTTCAGGTCACTTCGCCCACAGTAGGTGACTCAGGTATCGCGTCTTTCGTAAGCCACGGTCCCAGGTCATTTTACCAACAGTGTTTGACTCAGGCAGCATGTCCTTCATTTGGGCTCACGACCCCAGATCATCTTGCCCATGGCAGATGACTCATGCATTGCGCCCTTCATCGAAAAGACGTCAAACACCTCAGGTCAAAAGGGTGACTCAAACAATGCATCCTTCATCGAAAAAGTGTTACGCGCTTCAGGCAGATGCCCAGTTAGGTACGGCTAATAAGGGGGAAAAGCATTTGTCCCCGAAAAGGATAACTTCCACATCACGGGTTAGCTTTTCCGTGCGGGAGAAATTTATTGGGGATAAATTCAATCCTTCCCATGTGGACGAATCATGTGCTAGCACGTGATATCCATGACTTTTTTGCAGGTACGACCCCCTCCCGGGCCAAATTAGGCTCAATACGGCCTAAGCTTATAGCACCAGGCCACGAATCTAGTTGGATTCGGGAGTTTTGGGATGATATGCCACCTGTTTCTGGATTATTCGTGTCTGATAACATAGGCCACTCTGTTAGAAATAAGGAACTCAGGAACTGAGTGGTCAAGAGGAGGAAATGTCACATTCTTTAGGTCCTAGACTTAAACTCGGTGATTCGGAAGGGTCATGATATAAGAAAGAGTGGTCCGCACAGGTACCCGGAGAGCATAGTCATTCACCCCAGCAACCCGGTCACAGTATCGAGAGATCCGAGGCAGGTATGAATAACTCATTTGAGCGGAATATTATTTGAATTTCCTTCCAATCGACAATGGGAATATGCCTTAGTTTGATTTGATTGCTCATACTCTTACAAACCTACAAAAGTAGCATTTAATGCGTTTTCCTTGTGTGCAGGTGAAAGCAACTTTTCGCATGAGCTAGAGGAAAAGCAAAGGTTCAGCAGAGAGTCATACTGTGTCTGAGCCGCCAACCCAACCCGTATACTGAGAGTGAAAGAGACACGCCAAGAGACGGTCTCGTTGCAGGCAGAACACGCCAAGAAAACTTAGTAAGACCATCAGAGGCATGACGCCATCACAAGTTTTGAGTTCAGTCAATTTGGATCACGGGTTGATCCACCTGATCTACAATCCATGGGTCAACCTGGTATCCTAGCCCGAGTCAGGTAATTCTCTATAAATACATTATCTTTCCCAACAGGGAGGGGGTTCACGCTCTTAGCCATCTTAAAACTCACAAAATCTCTCTAGATACTTGTGGTTCTAAAGCTCAAACATTCTACACGATTCTGATCATCTTTCGCTTCTCCTCCATGGCAGTTCCTAAACCATGGAGCTCTTTTACTACAAGAAAACAGGCGTTTTACATCGAAAAATACCGATGTAAAATCGACGTAATGGAGGCTTTGCATCGAATTAAGGATGAATTTCATTTCGTCATAAACGAGTGTTGTAAAACTTAAATCTTCGTAAAATCATCGTAAATATTCCAACGCGTCAAAATCATTATAAATTCGTATGTATGAAATCGTCATAAATTCGATGTAATACTTTACGACGAAATTACGACGAATTACATATCTACATTAATTCGACGTAAAGTCGATGTAAATTTACATAGATTTTACAATGATTACACGAAAAACTTATTTCGTCAAAATCAAGTATTTTAATTTAGGATCGACGTAAAATAGTCGTAAAATATCGACGGAAAATCGTCATAAACATCTTCAACGTTAATTTGTCGTAAGGTATCCGACGTAAAATTGATGTAATTTTATAGCGATTTTATGTGGGAAATAAGAAAATAAATATTATTTAAAATTTGATATCTTATTAATTAATTGATATTAAATAAATCAAAATATAATATAAAATTCAAAAATAATCCTAATATTAAAATTCAAATACAAATACAAAATGTTTACAAAATATACAATCTATAAAGTAATATCAAAATCGTCGAGGTTGATATCAACGTCACGAGGAGGCTCCCCGTCATGTCCGGAGGAAGCCGCTGTACCATCGTTTCCCGTCTGAACTACGTGAGCCGACGGCTGATCCTCTGTACCGGTCTGCGGACCAGTCAACGTATCGGAAGGAGTTCCCCTAAGATTCTGTGATCGGCGTTGCTTCTCCGGGAGTGCGACGGCCAACTGCAGAATACTCACCGCTATGACGTCAAAGAGGTCGTTCATCTTGTCGATCTCCTGCTTTTGGATAACCTTGTCATCCCGCAAGCTGGTGATCTCAGCTTGGGCAACAGCTAGCTTCTGCCGCAGGTGAGCCAGATCCTCGTATGCACGGCTTCCTGAAGACGAGGCGACAGACAGTCTCTAATAGAGTTCATCCCTAAGATGCGGCATTTCTTCCTCGGAGCAACCTACAAATAAAATTGAAAACATTAGATAAGTATTAATCTACATATAGTAGTAATTAAATTTAAAAATAAATGAAGTCATACCTTTCGAATATCTTGTCTTGCTCGAGAACGGCCAAAGATACTTGGATAGTACCATCAGGTGTGACCTGAGTCTCCCATTCGGCGATCCTCGCCATGGCATTGTTGTAGATCTGCTCTGACCAAACATCTACAAATGATCCGTCTTTCTTCCGGTGAGTGGCTTCGAAGAGCTTCATCATTAATTGGAGGAACTTCTCCTCCATTCTCCTCCGCCTTCGAAAAAATTTACACATTAATAATATAGAAATGTAATATTTAGATAATTATATAGAAAATATCAAAGTAAATAACTAAATATTACCAACATCAGACGTCTTCCGTAAATGGTACTTGGCCAGAAGTGTGTGGGGTCATTTAACTTCTGACCGTCAGGGCCGATCCTATTTCGAAAGGCCAAACACTTAGACGCGGTGTCATGTGTATGTGGGTCGAGCCAGTACACATTCAACCCGTTCCAGCAATCTATGAACATGGAACTCGGCTTCGCGTCGTTGCCGTTTACTTCCGCTTCCAGTCTGAAATGG